TTGAGTAATATGTGCATAGTGGCTCATCATACTATTGTGTCTATTCTTGTGAATAATTTAAATTGTGTATAACACAAGGTTAAACAAAATCAAAACAGCAGTTCTTAAATTAAACTAACCCACAGCGGGATTTTAGTGACCTAATAACCCTTCTGGGTTTGCAAAATGTTGTATGTATGAGCGTCTGTGCCTTTTCTTCTAGGGAGGAGGTCCAAAACTCTAATCCGATTTCTAGTAGTCTCTTTTGCTAAAATGTTAAGAACAATTGGAGTAGACTGCTAACCTTTAGCTAGCTCATTCTGAGGATTATTTCTTGCAATTAATGCTTTTAATGGAAATTAGGAAATAGAGATTTTAAGCCTATAATCCTTTGCAAAGACTCTGAAATACAAAAGAGAGTTGCCAATCCATGAAGGTTTGTGTAATTATTGCTGTGAAAGAAGTAGAGATAGAAGAATCTAGGATCTTAATGAGAAAACAGCTGCAAGTGAAACTGTGAAGCCTGTTATAATGTGCTGTAAATTTATTAAAGCACAATTGAGGCCGTGCATTAAATGAAGCAAATGCAAGTGACATCGTGTAAATTCTAAAAGAGTAATTATGAGTCTTACACAATTTATTTCCGTTTACCATTTCGAACTCTAGAGAAACTTATTCATTACATCCCTTGGGGCGCCTTTCAAATTGATTTGGCTTTGGTGCTGGCAATAAGTATTGTATAAAGCGCCCCACCTCTCTACCCCCTGCAGTATAGTTTGTCTGAATCTTGGCTCGAATGTTCAAGACCTTTCAAACTCATCACTAGAAGTTGTGGATTCCCACCTTGCAAGCCCACAATGTTCTAGAGACAAACAGAATGAAATACCACTTTCCAATGCTTCAGTATCCTCTGTTAGAAAGATTTTGTTCTCAACTTCTAGGGTATCGCGTATGATTGCATTAGAAGAATTTCACTTCCCCTGCTATTCACATGGCCCCCTTTTCTTATGGAAGTGGTATTTATTTATTTATTTATTTAGTCTTTTGTCTTTTTGAGACAGGGTCTTGCTATCCAGTTCAGGCTGGTCTCAAGCTCACTTTGTAGCCCAGCCTGGTCTCAACTTGCAATGATCCTCCTGCCTCAGTCTCCAGAGTACTGGGATTATAGGCATGCACCACCAAAACTAGCTGTGTAAGTGTTTTTTAATTAACAAAGAAAACCCTTAAAAGTCTGGCTGAGCACACTTTTCTATGTGCTTGGCATGCATTAACTCATACATCATTCCTAGGAGGTCATGTCAGAAAAATTACCCAAAACATGGAAATCAGTAAAAGAGACAACCAGGTGTTTCCCAAGGCATGGATGGAGTTGCAACGTGGATTTTCCATTGCCTGGGCTATTTTATAACTTTGTAGGATGGGGAAATTAAAATATTTGTGTTAAGATGCAAAGTGTTTCTATTAGAGAGGTTTGGAGTGTGTGTGTGTGTGTGTGTGTGTGTGTGTGTGTGTGTGTGTGTGTAGGTGGGTGGGTGTGGGGGTGTGGGTGTGCTGATAATCCCAAAAGTTGCGGTTCTTAGCCCTCTTAGACACTAACCAACTTGGTTTCTAACCCAGGAATTGTATCCTAACATTCATTTATTAAATTACCTGCAAACAGTGCTTTTTTAAAGTAGCTTAAACGTGCTACTGTTCTCTCAATAATTACTGAGTTAAATAAAGCTTTTAATACATGTTCACTTCTTTAACCTTTGAAAGTCATGCTCTAACACTACGTACATTATAACTTTTGGATGATTATATACTGTTCTATTTCATGAGCTACAAGCAATTAACTCTACTTATTTCTTCATTGTGGGATGTTGATGTTGCTTTCAATATTTTTAAAGAAAAAATTATACGTTAAATATTTTGTGACTAAACATTTGCATTTGTTTAATTTTAACTACACAAATGGAATTTCTGAGTCAGAACCTTTATGCTTAAAAAATCTTTATGTACAGATTGTTCACTTACCCTCCAGTGCTTGTGCTGGTTAATATTTCAGCAGAATATCCATTCTCATTTCTCAGATTTCTTTTTTTCCTGACTATTCCCATTTAGAGGGACTCAAATACATAATAGAATGAGAAATTGGTGAAAAACATAACTAAAACTTTGAGATACAAGTATTTGCAGTTAGGGATAATCTGCTATATTACATTTTAAGGGTGAAGTATGTGACTTTAGAATCTACTGAGTAAGATTGGCAGTTAAGCTGTTAGGAGGCTGAGCATGGGAGTGCATACCTGTCACCCCACCATTCTGAGAGCCTAGGGCTGGACCGTCACAAGTTCAAGCCCAGCCTAAGTAATTTAGCAAGACCCTGTCTCAAAATAAAAAATTTTAAGAAGGACTAGAGATGTAGCTCAGTGCAAGCGCTGGGTTCAATCCTCAATACCCCCCCCCACACCCCCAAAGAAAAAAAATCTGTTAGGAAAAATATTCCTGGATGGCTACTTCCGACAGGGCAGTAAGTTATTTGCAGACAAAACAAAATTCCCTTCCTTCTTTTTTCTCCCACATAGAACAAAACTGGAGCTCTTCAAAACATAACTTCAGTTTGGAAAATACTCACAATATTTACTATTCACTATAAATATCTAAGACCTCACACAACTAATTCATAGAGAACATCTAATTTGACTCCCTTTACTTTTTTTTTTTGTGTGTGTGTGTGCAGGTAATCAAACTCAGGAGCTCATGCTTGCCAGTTAGGCACTGTGCCACTGAGCTATATCACCGGCTATATTCTAACTTATTTCCTGAAGTTAAATAAAAAAGAAAGGAAGCTGAGTGGATGTGGAAAGACTTTTAGTAAATGTATGTTTGGAGAAACCATGTCACCTGTCTATTTCCTTTCTTATCCGTCCAGAATTTAGTTCTATTTTCAAGGCACTGAAAGCCTGTGATTTTTAAAGTTAACTGAAGACAATACTCATCACAGGCCTCCTACTACTACAAATTTTACAAACTGTCAGTGCTTTATGGGCATTTGTTTTAGAGATTGATGAGCAATGTCAGTAGGTCCTGACAAAGAGTGGGCAGCCGGACGTCTATTCTGGGCCCTGAGAGGTAAGGGGACAGGAAAGGACAGATTCAGGGAGGGGACCTGCTGCTGTCGAAGCAAGTGAAACCTGCTTTCTTCTTGCTCCTAAAAGTACTATCCATATACGTACCAATTCCCCAAGACAAATGTAATTGTTATGTGAGGTAAACATACACTACTAAAAAGAAAATAAAAGTAATGTAGTGAATGCATTGAAAACTTGCTTCTCATTTAGTTCCAGAGTGAGTTCAAATTGGGTGGAAAACATACACATTAGCCGGTGTAAACTCACGAATATATGCAAGTTCACTATAGAAATAAATGCATTCAGAGGAATGGAAAAGAAGATCCTAATACTAAGTCAGGCACTATGGGTGCATCTCTGGGATTCCCCAGGGAGATGAAAAACAGGCAGAGAGCAGCAAAAGGATGAGCAGGTTAATTGCTAATGGATGCAGGGAACAGGATCTTATCTCTTCTCTAACCTGGTATCAGACCTGTGTATGCAAAGAAACACGCTCATAGGGCCATTGCAGAAACTTTGGTGTTTGCACAATTCCCACTGAAAGCACTTAGTGCTTCCCAGTCCTTATATATTGTTCCAGGTTTTCACAACCACTGAGGTGAACAACAACAAAAGCCTTGCCAAAGTCATTTAGCCTGAGTGCTCAGTTGTCCGGATGTGGGGGGATGTTCATCAGACATTTATCCTAAAGAGCCAAACCATTTTGGCATGGGTTAGGGTGTCTCTGCAGAAGCTTTCTTGGAAATGAATTTGTTCAAAATCCTCTTTGGCAAAAGCGCTAAGGTTCAGGCAAAAGGAAGATGCTAAAGTTTGATTTCTTATTTAAGTATTTTAAACAAAGGGCCAAACCTGGTCAGAAATTAAAAACAGAGTCAGGAGCAGACTGGTGGAGCACTTGCCTAGCAAGGGTAAAGGCCTGAGCTCAATCCCAGCACTGAGAAAAAGAAAGAAAAGGGAAAAAACAAGCCCAGACCCAGGTTTAAATGGCAAAGAGAATTTGAAGGACTGAGCTTTCTGCCTATTCTAAACCTAAAATAGAACTTGGGATTGCACAAATGTAGTTTTCATGTCACTGGGCCAACATGCAAACATACTCTGAGCTTTAAAAATTCATAATTTCCCATCAGCTCTAACTGCGAGTCCTCTGCCTGCCTGAATTCTAGGGAAAGCCATGATTTCCTCTGGCTTTGCCATCACATTTCCTTAAGGAAAGTGCTTTTCCTTGGCTTAATGTTTGCAGAAATCTGCCTCCTGTGCCTCTCTTCTCTGCCCTGATTCACCAGCTAGGGTTCCAACGCAGAGCCTGGTGGGGACAGTCTCAGACAGGACTGGTCCTGGACCCCAGAAAAATCCTGTGGGTGATAGTGGGTGACAATCCTGTGGGCGGGCTGGGTGTTGCTGTTTCAGCCCCCCCCACACACACACCCTTGTGGGACAGACACACAGGAGAGACAAGGAGAATGTGCCGACCCAGGCACCCAAGCACTGGCTGAATGGATTCTTGGAAAGTAGTTTGTTCCCTGGAGACTCAGCAACTTAAGGAAGTAAAATGGCTCACAGTGGGATCTGCCTCTGTGAGAGGGGGATAAAGGATTGACAAAGGGGCAAATGACTTTTCTTACATACGTTGAGTACATTTTCTTGCAGGTCACATATCAGATTTCACTTTAGTTCTAGACAGTTGGACAATTGCTTAATTGCCTTACGCTATTCCTTCTTTCCACTCAAATGGAAAACAAACGTGAGGAAGGAAAGCAGAATCTCAAAGGTCCCTTCCACACTGCAGTGGCAGCAAGGAAGACAGTGGCAGGGTGGTCCAGTCCTCGGGAGTCACAGGACAGCCCCAGCGAGGGTGAGGGTGGGTGGGGACAGGGAGCCGCATGCAGGCTCTGGGTGGCTCAACTGGGGCGCAGAGCACCATCCCCTGGTCCGCTTGGATATCTTCGCTGCCATCCTGTGAGATCTGAAGCGATACCCAAAGATGGGCTCACCCATGTTGAAGATTTTAATCCGAGGACATTTAGAGAGAGCTTTAGAAAACTATAATATTAAAGAGGCCAGAGGGGCCAGGGATTTAGCTCGGTGGTGTAAGCACCAGGTCGATTCCTGGTACCTCCCCCCACCCCAAAAAAATGAGAGATCTATCACCTCTGAACCCACTTCAGATACTGCAAGTTGTGTTTCTGAAACACCAAAGCACACACTAGGCACGACTTTCTGAATAAAAGCTCACTGCCTTTTGAAAAGTTCTTATACAAAACTAATTTGATTTTTCTATTTGTTCCCTGTGTTACTTTCATTTCCCAGAAACCAATTTCAGAGGTAAACAGTTATCTGTCAAATTCCCTCGATTTAGCAAATGTAATATAATTGTATAATTCTTCACTGTTTCCCAATTACTCTTCTGCTTATGTGTCAGATTGCTGGAGGAACACATTTATTCATGACATTAACTTGTTGATCTAAATCCCAGGCAACTTAGTTTCCAAATAAATTGACATTTATAATCTTTTAACGCGATACTACCAATTTAAGGGACATATTTATCGTGGGAATTTAAGCACATGGATTTATTTCCCTTATTACTTTGTAGGCTGTTTTATTTCAATAGTTCTCAGACTATTGCTTATACTTTAGGGAAACTCCTTGCAAACTTAAGTATTTTCTATGGTCATTTTTAACTCTCATCAGAAATATCAGGTGATGAAGTACAGATTTTAGATTTTGTTTGTTATTAATGTGAATAGGAAGCCCAATTGGTATATTTATGTTAAGTCAATATAGATACTAACAAAGTTAGCTTTCAAACGTGTGTGTTATTAGCTTAGACTCACAAGACATGAAAAATAGCTGCTAAAACCATTTGAACTACACAGCCGAGTAAGTCACAGTATAATAATTCTATGTCTCAGGAGTTGATAAGCTTTTTGCATCATATTTTCTGTCTAATTTCATCAAAGAAATTCCATGCAAAAGATTAGGAATTTTTATGTCTTTGAAATCAGTTCGGTTCAAAGACCCCCATCCTTGTTCTCCAAGTGGTGCTTCCACCACTCGGGGAAGCATGTTCTCCTGGAGTCACCGCTGGCGCAGACGGGTGATGATGACAGGAAGTTGTCATTCTTTTCACCTCACTGTGTCACCCCATCCTGCACCTTCTACACGATTAAATTGCTGTTATTTTATTTGATTTACCACAGCCATTTGGATTGTGAATGACCTCACTGATGAAGAATCAAGGCTTTAATTTGTCATGGAGAAAGTATCAGATTCAAGAGTGTATGTTTTTATTACTGATTTTGTCCAGAAATAGAATTTCATGCTTATTTTCAAAAGAGAAAAATCAACTTTGTGAATGTTCGGCACGTAACACACCACTGTAGTTTCTTTTGCTGTTTTGATGGCCTGTGGGGTTGTACATAAGACCCCCACCAAGACCCGATTTCCTACAAGTGAATCAATTTCTGCAATACCATTGAGGAAATTAAAAACCAATCTCTTGGCGTTTTATTTTATTTCATTTTATTATTTTTAAGAGAAGATCTCACCCAGCAAGGCCAAGCCCTGGGGATGTCGATAAGAATTGAGTTTCCTTTCTATGCAACTTCCTCAAGGTCAGTATTCAACTCCGTTGTTTTCACAATAAAGCAGCTGACCTCATGTAACATCTGTCGCTATGGTGACAGTGGGACAACAGTAGCCAGCAAAGCTCCTGGTGCCTTTCCAAATTGGCCTGCTGGAAGGCGTGGCCTGCACAGAAGCAACAGCAAAGCATGTAAGGAAAGCCAGAGGTCTGAGAGGCCGGCCACCCGTGGGCTCTCCACATGAGGGGCCAGAGCCTCTGCCGGGAGCAGTGTCCCTGGGCCAGCCTTGCACCTGGAGGGAAAGAGGGCTAGATGGACACAGCTCAGCACAAACAGAGATGTTAGGATGTCAGGTCGTCTAAATCGAAGTACACTTCTGAAAAGAAAGGTGAGGTGGCAATCGAATAAAGGCACAAGCAGGAAAGCAGAGGAGATAGGAGAGTGCTCTCTGCCCTAGGGGAGTTAACAGAGCCCCTGTGACTAACCAGGGGCAAAGCATTAGCTTTGCACGCAGTGACACCCATGTGCTGGGTAGGATTCTCTGAGCGTCAATACAAATATGGAGACTTGTACGTAAGTTGCTAGCATAGGTTAGCTTGATGACTGTGTCTGTGTGCTGGGGGGTGAACAAGGCAGCCATGGGCAAATGGGGATGCAGAAAAAGTAAGATGAAGCATTTCATCACAGTTTCAAAGGTCTTTAAGATTATTTAAAAAAAAAAGATGTAAAAGACATCAACTCTCTTTAGACTTCCAAGGGGCTTAATTAATGATCCCTTAATTAATCACTTGCTCAAAGTGGTACACGCAGACATGACCACTGAGGCCCTGAAGTAGACTGGAAGACTCTATGTGGGTCATTCTGTGTCACCCCAGAGCCCCAGTAATCCGTTCAAGGTCTTTTCCCCATCAGTTTTCTAAGAGAGCAGGAAAGGAGGTGAGGAAGGAAGAATGGTGGTGATGCCAGAATTAACTGCCTGGAGACAGACCAAGCCCAGCATCACACTAAGGGTTAAAAACCATCCAGTGATTTGAGGAACTTGTAAGAGGCCTCATTTAAAAATCTCTTGCTTATACATGCTTCAGATTTCGTCCGGCATCACGCAAGGGATGGAAAAATCAGCTTATGGACAACAATTCTACTGGTTGCTCTATCTGATGTATCGTTCTAGTTCTAGTTATTTATCGTAGTCTAACAAACCATTCCAACACTTCCTGACATAGTGACATACTGACAATCACCAGGATGTCAAGGATTCAGGAAAGCTTTAGCTGGGCAATTTTGGTTCAAGGTCTCTCGTAGGGTACAGTGGGCGGGTGGTTTGGGGTAGTGGGATTTGGAACAGCTGGGGGCTGGCCCGGGGTCTCTCTCTGTCCACCCACACGCATGTGTACGTGTGTATGAATAACAGGTATAGGTGAAGGTGGAAATAGAGGTCTCTGAGAGGCTGGTTTTGCCTTGCGCAGGTAGTCGAAGTGCTGATGTGGCAGCTGAGACCTTAGGACTGCATTTCAGCTTTAAAAGCGAGGATTCCAGCTGGGGAGGTAGAGGCTGCCATAGACGGAGCTGATTCTGAAGTCTTTGGGTGGTTACAAGTGAGCCACGCCGGCCAGGAAGGGCACTGGCGCTCCAAACCACGTGGCACTGCAGAGGGGGCCGCGGACATCCTCAAGGAACACAATCTGTGACGTCTGCACGTTTGTAGGTTGGTTTGTGGGGCCCGGAAGTAATTTAATAAGTGGGCGTGAGTGTGCGGAGCTCCTGGGCCGGTGGCTGCCACGCGCTTGCTTCTCGCTAGGCCTGTTGAAAAACGAAGGTTTGTCTTCTTGTTATTCCCCACATTCCTTCTTTCACAGAGTAAGTAAAATCTGTAAAAACAGAAAGTCAAACAAAACCAAAACCAACAATAACAAACAGTCCTCTGTCATAAAATCTAACCTGACTCCCGGCACTTTCGAGGCTGAGCCAAGCCTGGGCAACGTAGTAACTTAGTGAGTCTTTGTCTGAAAAGGAAATTTAAATAAGGACTCAGGCTGTAGCTCAGTACAAAGGCCCTGGGTTTATCACTAGTGCTAAAAGAAAATATCCAGAGTGATTTAGAAGAGAAAGCAGAGGAATGGAATATACAAAAAAAGGGAGGGGGGATTTTTGGAAAAAATAGATGTTTCCAAAAGATGTCCCAAGAATTTTAAGTTGTAAAAACTACACGGTAAGTGTATCACGGTTCTTAAAGCAGAAGAATTTCATAAATAATATTGGTTGACCCATGATTTTTTTTTTTCAGAAAATCAAAGTTTCAGAATGACAAAGGAAAACATTTTTTAAAAAAAAGTCAGAAGACAATGACACAGCGGGGGAAGTGTCTGCCATGCACATAACAAAGGATTGGATTTCAAGGCGCTTTGGCAGGAGTGCAGGCAAAGTGTAACCTTGAAAAGTGATCAGAGGTGCGAACTTGCAGGCATGAAGCCTGTTAATCTCTATAACCATAAAAAAAGAAAGAAAGAAAGCCGTCCTGAATTGAGGATGCCCATAACAGCCCACGGCAAACATGAGACGCCTTTAGGGGGAAAAAGCAACTTTCCTTCATTTTTCCCAAGGTCCATGGCTCATACAGCTCCCCCACAGACGAGAGGACTGCAGAGACCCGCCTGACCATGCATTTGCTGAGTTGTATGTGGCCTGGCTGCGTTCCAAGGGAAGACCTCAAGGCTCAGGGAACACTGTACTTTTCTGCTAAGAGTCATGAGGGAGGTGGCAGCTGTAGAGCAACTGGACTGGACAGAAAGGGTTAGGACCTAAGGGTCTAAGCTGGGAAGCAGCTTCCTCGAGGCCGGGCCATTCCCGTGTCTCTGTGGGGTCCCCACTCCCTGGTGTGGGGCGGGACACCTGAGGATGGTCACAGGCAAGAGGAGGAGGTCAGAGAGTGACCTGATTCATGGAGGGACTTGCTTGGGGGACAGAACTGCAGTCTCTGCCTTGTGCTCCTGGGCAATGGGGTGGGGGCGGGGACCCGAGAAAAGTGAAGCTCAGACCTTTGGGTTTGGGGAGCTGGGTTCTGCTAGGAAAGCGCAGCCTGCCAAGGTAAAGCCTTCTGAGCTCTGACAGGGCCAGTACTGTTCTAACCTTCCCGGCCACCTGGTGAATGTAAGTTAAGATAAAAAATGAACCACTGTCATTAATCATTGTTAGATTCCGAAATGAAAATGTTGATAATATTGAACAGTAGCAGAACAGGCTGCCCCCCCGCAAATATGCTACTTTGGCATAGTGTTATTTTGAGCTGAAAGTAATTGAGATAAAACAAATAGAAGGAAAACTCTCTGTCCCCTCTCCTTTTGCCTAAAAGTAGGGTATAAGTTTGTCGAGATAGATCCCCTCTACTCTTCACCAAGGATAGCGTTAATTACTAGACACAACTCTAGACCTTATTGGAACACCAGAGGAATCTATGGAAAAAAATTCACTAAGTAGCTTGTATTGAACATTAGCTTCCTTGAAATATTTCCTTCTTACAGTTCGTAGTCCCAGAAACTCAAAGGCCTTTTAGTTTTTCTCATCATTTGTTGAAAACTTCAGTCATTTGATTGCTATGGCTGAGTGTATCTGTGTGTATACATCGTGAATATATTGATTTTTTTTTTGCTTGTTTTATTCCTGTTAATCAGACTGAAGTTAGAGTCCCTGCTTGATTACCTTAGATGTTTCCTCCTCTACAGTATCAAATCCTGGCCTTGATGTGAGACACTCACACAGGCTGTAGGTGTGCTTATAAATTGCTATAATCTGGCATTTTAATTAAATTAAAAATAAGTATGTCTTTAACATAATGCTTATGCTTTCGAGCATTTATTTAACAAATAAAAATTTACATCAAAGAATGTTTATTATGCCCATTTTCTGTTCACAAAAATAGAAAAAAATGGAACCTTTTTAATAAGCTACTAGCTGAATTTTAGCTTATAGAATATTATATGGCTAAGTAAAAATAATGAGATATATTTGTTTTAGGCATATATCAATATATGATAAAATGAAAAAAGTTAAAGATATTATATACAAAATACAGATACATACATATAAATATATGAGTTTATAAATGATTTTATCTGCAAATAATTTGGTTTGCAAGCCAAAGTTTTGGCAAAATTTTGTTTTTGTTTGCCTCTATATTGGGTGATAAACACTCCTGCAGCAAATTTTCCCACAAAACACAAACAGCCATCTTTTTCAGAACCATGGAAAAAATTAAGTTTGTGAACCAAAGTACCCCTGCACCGTCCTTTATAATATTAAAAATAAATTGTTAAGAACTATTTGTGTATGCGATTCTTGAAGTAGAGGAAGAAGCATAGAAAGATCCATTTGAAACTGCTGGGATTCACAAAGTGCTGTTAGCACCCATTTGCAGTGAGATTACAGGGGAAACGATTTTACATCATCAACGTTTTTGTCTTTGAAATTGTTTCTGTAACATGCCTTCTTGGTATTTGATCCAAAAGACTCACAAAAAGAAATGGCCATCACATGTGTGGGCTAGCCTTGCTTTGGGTACAAATAAATGTGTGTTGAATGAAGAAATAACTGTGTTAGAGCCACTGTCATTCAAGGCATGTATGCATTTCCTGCATAAAGGAGCCTCGGACTTCTATAGTTAAAAACCAAAGGAATAATAGAATCCAGGAAGATTGTTTGGTAACTCACGTTTCTGTTTTGATAAATCAGTCCCATGTAGCATCCATTATCAAAATGATTCTGCTCAGGAACAACAAGAACACATGAAAAAAAGCCCTTTATCCAGGCGATGGATCAAAGGCTTGATTTGGTTCCCTGCCCAAACTGACTCAAATTCTCACTTCACACAATTAGAGTTCTTTATTGCCTTTCATTACAGAATGCTTTCCTGAAGGAGTAGACAATTTTTTGAGAAAGCCTAATTTTGTAGAACAATTTTAAAAAATTATAGCGCCTCATTCATCTGAAGATTGCATTGGAACAAAATCCAAGAACAGCTTATAGTCTGAGTCCTACTGTAAGAGATGTCATTATAAATCCACTCATATCTACAAAGCACCAGGTAAGAGTCTTTATTTCTAATCAGTATGTGATTTTCATCATCTGGTTTCAACAATGGCTTAATTTTTTATGAAAATAACAGTTTTCTTCCCGCCTGCATTGTCATCTTTATTTGAAGTGTGTGGGTGTGAACTACACTCCTTCCTAAGTCAGAAAGGTAATGGTACCCTCTTCAGTTTTGGGGTCTCTCCCTGATGCATCCTGTTAGCAGTGCTCCTGGATGGCGACTTCATTTTCCCTCATGCAGCAAACAACACCTCTGCACGTAACACGGGCACACATATGAACAGCATGTCTCCCATACAGAGCGGGCACCTCAGACACAGATAGTTCCTGTGAGCTGCTGTTCCTGATTCCTGTGCATCTGTACCCATCCTTACTGCAGAAAGCCATACTCCATAAGAAACGAGAATGAATCTTGGGCTCCCACTCAGAGAAGTACAGAGGAAGGGGGCTATGCACATCTGGTCTGTGTATCTGCATAACAGGCTTGGGAAGAGCTCATGGTGACTCTGAGAGTGTTTCCTTGTTTGTTTTTTTCAGTGCTGGGGAGAGAACCGAGGGCCTTGAATATGCTAGGTGAGAGGTCTACCACTGGGCTATGCCTTCCCCACAACCTGAGGGGGTTTGAGAAGGTGAAATACATTAAAACAGGATCTTGTGCAGACAGGGGATTGTCTCTGGAAGAAGGAGTCTCAACCAAGGACAAAAGCTGAGGTCTTCCCACATACACAAGCAAGCACGCAGGCTTCTTCTGGTGGTTAACAGGCTTGGAGAGAAGCTTGGAGCCCAGGGACACACAGTGCTGCATGTTTTCTCTGGAGACAAGCATTCTTTAGAGAGACTGGCTCTGTGGAAACTACTTTGACTCTGTAATTAGGAAGTAAGATAGAGAACAACAGCCCAAATGATGAAATCCCAGTGTGTAAGACCCAGACCTCGGACAATTAGCGGAGCCTGGGAATGTGGAATACTGAAGAAATGGCTATTTCCATGGAGAGCAGTCTAAAATATACAGAACAGGGCACAATGCAGATGTCGGACAAAGAAAGAAAATTAAGAGCAGATGAGGAAAAAGATCATTCTTCCAACGATGTTTGACTAATGACTTTAGTAACTTCTAATAAGAAAGATACAAAGTCATAGGAAAAGCACCATAAGATATTAAATTTGAAGTTTCAATACTGTATTAGCTGTCTTGCTGCTGAGACACAATATCAATCTCCACGATTTAAAGGGGGAGATGTATAATTTTCCCCGGGGTTTCAGCACTGCATGGGTACGTGGTTGTCTGGCCCCAAGGCAGGAGCGTCATGATGGAAGGACATGGTGAAGCATAGCCAGCAGGAAGCAGAGGAGGAACACAGGACTAGACAGGAAGGAGCAAGATGCACCAGAACACAGGCCAAGAACCATCACCTCCTCAGACATGCTGAGAAGTTTGCTATGCTGGTTTCCCAGGCATTTATTAGCTCAGTTACATTGACATATCACAATTAATGGCCACAGTCCACCCCTTGCCAGCTTGACAGTCAGACACATTTCTTTAAATTATACTTAATCTCCAGAGGAAGACAATAGCACATTCATAATTCTGCCTCACATGATATAACTGTCCTGTGTATAAATGAGAATGCAACAATCCCTTCCTCAAAGGCTCTTCTTCTAGTAGCTTTCAAAAGTCCAAGTCCAAGTCTCTTCTGAGGCTCAAGATAAATTCTTAGCTGTGAGCCTATATAAAAATCAAGAACAAATCATACTAATTTCAAATTACAATGGTATAGGGTAAACATACACACTCCAAAATGAAGAAAAAACAGGATAGATACTAGAATAAAACACAACAAGGCAAAAATTAAGTCTGTAGTTCCATACTCAGCATCTGTGGCACATGGTGGTGAGATGTGTGAGAACCAAGAAGCCAACTTATGCCTTGCCATGATCCAGCTGGTGCATGGGCTGGGAGACAAGCAAAGTCCTCCCCCAACACTGTTTGTAACCAGCTGATTTGGAGAAATACAGGCTGAGATGATGGCAACTGAATTAAAAAAAAAAACCCAAAACGACACCTTATTGCTTGTATTGTTTGATTGACTTTGCAGGCTTAAAGGCAGTAGTCTGTGCATCTGTTTAGAGGATAACAACATGCAATACAGCAGGTGTCATGGTTTATGTCTGTGGCCCCCAGGCCTCATGAGTTTGCATTGTGCATTTGTGATTGGTTCATTGTCTAGTGCTTGGATTGATGGTGTCAGTGCTCCACCCACAAAGGGGTGGAGCCAGGATGTAATGTAATGGCAGGAAGAAGGTGTGTCTTGCTCTTTGCTGGTTCCTGCTTGTTGTTTACAGCCGCCATGAACTGCGGCCCAGCCATGCCCGCCTGCTTTGGAGCCAACTGAGTGTGGACTGAAACCTCCAAAGACTATAAGAAATAAACCTTTCCTTTCTCAACTTAGGCTTCAGGTATTTTGTCTTAGCGACAAGTAAAAAGTAACTAAGACAGCAGGTATGGGGGTTTCCTTCTGTCTTGTTTTTGAAATCCAATATTGGTCTCACTGTTTTATTGTTTTGTTTAATTTCCTTAAAAAGAAGTCAGCATTATGTAGATAATGCCAAGGTCTGCTGGCCACAGGAACAGTAGCTAGGCCCCATTAGACTGTGGTTGTAACCTCCTCCAAGTGCCTGGATGACTGAGCTCAGGGAAATGAACTCTCAGGGATCAATCAGTTCTCTAGGAGGCCTTTCTTAAGCAGGCACCCCCTGGGCTCTTTCCTTAAAGGAAAAGTTTGCTTTGCACCTTTGAGCTTGTGATGGATGGAATCTTGCTAATTTCTTGTATGTCCTCATGCATCGTTCTTCTTGTCCCTGTACAAAGTACTTCTTAAAAATTATTATTAATAGTGATGATCTCTGACTACCACAGCAGCTTTGGCCCCATCTTTACACATGGTTACTTCTGGGCCAGTTTATGTTTTTCATATTTTTCTGCTCTGCATTTTGCCTCCAATTCCCACTAAAAGTCTGGCTAAAAGCAACCAGTGTACTCATGCCACATCCTGAATGTTGGACTACTTTAAACTTTGCCTACCAGATCAGGCATGGTGGCACACACTGTAATCTTAGCACAGGAGGCTGAGGCAGGGAGATTCTCATGAGTGCAGGATGCTGAGGCAGGAGGATTCCAAGACAAAGGCCACCTGGGCTACATAGTAAGTCTGAGACCACCCTAAACTATGTAACAAGAGCCTGTCTTGAAAAAAATTTTTTTTGTCCACCAGATCAATTAGTCCCCCACCTTTAATGTCAATATCTTGCTAAGTCTCAGGACATAAGCAAAATGTAGACTTTTTTTCCCTTAGTGTAACACAAAAAGCTTGTAGTGCAATTGCCAATGGGACTCTGCTTCCCAAATGAAGCCTCCTGAGCCTGGCCTTGACTGTCCACACAGTTGTCAGCATTTTGGCCTTCTGCACTCTGGCCAGCATAGGCTTTCTGCAGCCCAATTCTCCAAACTTTCCACACTTGTCCTGAAAACCAATTCCAAAGGCTTCTAAACCACATGGTCAAGTACAGGCATACAATGTCTACCAATTGTCCGGGCCTCTGGGTAAGTCCACAGAGACCCTAGAGGGGAAGCGGGGATGAAAGGGGACAAGAGACGCAAAGAATGGAGACAAGACAGAAGTCCAATCAAGTCTCATTTATTCAAGGAAAAAGTAACAAATATATAGGGTATTAGGGAGGAGGGAGTTGGGTTCTGAGATGTCAGTAGGTAACTTAGCAACAGTGGCAAGACTGAGGGTTATAGGTTAAATCAAATTTTCAAATTTCCCGTGCAGCTCATAAGCATAATCCCTGAATGGGCCAAACAAGGTAGGCAAGGAGCTGCTTAACTACCAAACTTAACTGCTAGAGGGCGTTAAGGTGGCGCAGCCTGCAGACATAAGGTGAAAGCCAATTACAGGGCTTCCCACAACCAATCTTTGCATTAGTCAGCTTTTTTCATTACTGAGACACAACCCCAGCACCCACCTTAAAGGAGGAGAGGTTTCATTAGGCTCGTGGTTTCAGGACAGTCAATTCATGGGCAGCTGGCCCCAAGGCAGAGACATCACGGTGGGGGGTGGGGGGGTGGAGCAAAGATGCTTGGTTTGTGGTGACTGGGAAGCAGAACAGGAACTGCAACATAGAGGAAGGGCCAAGGGCCATGCATAGTACCCATAGTCAGGCACCCACGACCCACACAGACACACCCACAACGTGTTTTAGTAGTTCCCCGGGTCTTCTTAATTCAGTCATGTTGCATCTCACAGAGGCTCTTGACCATTTAGATACATTCATGGTTAAATGGCCTAAGTTGCTTTATGTAATTGTCTTTTGTTTGTGTAGACTTATGCATTCTTATCTCTCTCCTCAGGTTTGGATCCAATGGAGGCCGTCTCTGGCTCAGAGTACTGTAGGCTCCAATTACAGAATTATGGCCGTTGGTACTCCAACAGACTTCAGCCCCAGGTTTCAGCGCTCCTTAGAGCTCCCCTTGGAATGGCCATTATGTGGCTTTCTGGTGCATTCCTAACATAGGTACATGAGCCGAGCCAGAGAATGCAGGGATGTTTTTAGAGATGGTCACTACCCAGGCTATCAATTATTAGCGAGCTGATTAATTAAGGAACTAAGGCAAAAATTCAACTAGAATCACATATAAAATTTTTTCTCATTACTACTTACCAATAAAAAGGAATGCAATGACAATAATAATCTGGTTGGATCTCAGAGAATTTTGCAGAGTGGAAAAAAGCCAATCCCATAAGGTTACAAATAGTACGATTTCATCATATAACACCCTAGAAATAACTAAGGTTAGATTATGTGCATAGTCATTTCAGGGTTTAGAGATAGGGGCAAGAAATAATTCGGCTATGAAAGAACAACAAAAAAAGAGCCTATGGTGACAAAAGAAGGCCGTCTCTTGACTGTCAGTACCACCATGGCCAACTCATGACCTTAAACCATGAATTTACAAAACGGTACCAGGAGGGAATGTGGCTGAGGGTGTATGGGGTCTCTCTATATTACATGAAGGTATAATTACCTCAAAATAAAAGAATTTTTTTCAGGCATGAATACATTCTCCAAGGAAAGGTTTTACAAACTCATAGTTTTTAATAAATTCCAATTTGGTCGCAGACCTGGAATCTGACTTTTACCTAAGAAACTAGGTGAATCTGAGGCAGAGTGGCCTGCTGCACACACTTGGAGACAAGTTGCTTTAGGAAATGTGGGCTCCTGAGCTAAGCAATTTGTTGTAAATTAGTGGGCAAACCAGTGAGATTTCACAGCAGATACTGCCTGTGACTGAGATACAGCTGTGTGCAGGCAGAGTTTCCTTGGCCTCGTTGTCTTGGTCCTTTGGGCTGTTGTAAGCATTTCCCACACTGTGCAAAGATCTCTTCTTAAGGAGGTGGGAAAATCAGTCTGAAATAAATATAGAAAAGGAGAACATGGAACTTTTTATTCATGAAGAGTAAAAATAATACCCTGAATTCAGCTTTGCCACCAAAATGAGTAAATCAACGGAAATAAAAGCTAAACTAGACAGAAAAGCACGCCAGCAAAAGGAGGCTGCGGGAATTGTGAAAAAGTCAGCAAAACACACCATCGAGAGAGAAGCAGGCTTCCAGGTACAGGGGTGACCTGAAGGCCCCCAGACCTCTTCTCTTTGTGGGGGTGCTGTTTTAGCCATGGGTGTAACCCTAAGCGTTCATGTGTTCCTTTTTTATTTTCTGAGTATAAGCTTATGACAGAGAAAGAGTTTTGGGTTCACCTGCAGAAATAAGAAACGCATGCACTTCTGAAAAAAACAATTCATACAAGAGCCCAGCGTAGGAAATGTATGGAGCTCTTGTTTCTCCTGGGTTTGCTGAGCATGGAAATCCCAGAGATTTATCCTGCTTCAACTCTAAGTCTGCAGTGGATTCTTCTTACCTTCTAGTCCCCACAAGAAGGTAAGTCAAAGTTGATTTTAAAATTCTTGGTGAGGCTTTTTTGTTGCTTTTTTGAGACAAGGTCTCTATGAGTGGAAGCTGGCCTTAAACTCTGTTACTGGAATGTTCTTCTAGCCTTGGCTTCCTGAATCACCAGGACAACACAAACACTCCACCACACCCATCTTGGGGACAGTCACATTGCTGATGAGGGTTATTCACTGTCATACAATACATCCTGGTCAGTGATATCTTACAGCCAGCCTAACTCTCTGTAGAGTGATTTGTTAGCAGACAGCGCTTAGCTTGGGCTTTATTTCTGCTCTTCTTTCTTTGATAAAGGTGCCAATAAGCCAGGAGGAACAATTTACAGTTAAAAATGCTGTGGGCAGGAGTGGTGGATAGAAAACAGAATACAGAACATAAGCGAATGTTCTAGCTCCCGACCTTGAGGATCCAGACGCTCTGCAGTCAGCGCTGCCGCGTCCTCCCACACCACACCTACACCAGGCCGGCTGGCTCCCTCTCTGAGTGCTGCCCAGGAGACAGCACACAGGCGATCAGCGTTACATAAGAAGAGGACAAATACCCATTTTCTTTCACAGGCACCGCATCTCCATCCACATTTGTAAAGTCAGCTCTCTCGGGTGCAGTGGGAGGGTCCGATGTGGCCCCCGCAATTCCATGTCTCCCCTCGTCTTCTGGCGGGATTGAGAGGGACCCAATAAAGGGTGATACACCTCTCAGGTGTTGGTCCTGGACAAAGCACCTGCGTTTTAGTAGCACTCTGGAGTTGGGAGGAGAGTACCGAGAGCATCTAAGCAAGGCTACAGAGCATTCTACTTGGGGGCAGGTTAAAAACAAAACAGGCTTGCCAGGGATGGTGGCACACATCTGTAACCCCAGCACTTGGGAGGCCGAGGCAAGAAGATCAGTGAGAATTTGAGGCCAGCCTGGACCACACAGGGAGACCCTGTCTCAAAACAAAACAAAACAACAGGCTTGTTTTATCTGAATATGCTTGTGATTACATGTATTTCATACTATAGTACTTTTTCTGAGCCTCAGCCTCCTCATCTGTTAAATGGGAACAATGTGTAGTTACAGTAGTGTCATAGTGAAATAGTTATTGAACTCAGCAAATAAAAATACATGTCATAGTCCATCAATATTTGGGACACAGTACTACGAACATCTCTGGTGTTCATCTAAACTTGAGTTTAACTGATGTCCCATATTTTATCCGGCATGCCTAGATGTATTATATGACAACGACACCCTTTTCTGGGTGCCAGAAATCACTGAGTACTTCATTTCCTGGGGTCGTCATTCCAGCAGCAGCCGGAGGCGGTTATCACTAGCCTCCATTCTGAACCCAGGAGATGAAAGTTTTCCAAGACCAAGTAGCCAGTAAACAGCAGAGACAAGAATCAAATCTGCTTGTTAGGCTGCCTCTTCAGGAGGCGGAAGCACCACGAAGCTGTAAAGTGTTCCGTTGTCGGCGGTCCCTCTGCGCCTTAGCCTTTCCCGGGTCCAGCAAAGTGCTGTGCAAGAAAACACGGAAACTGAGAGTTGCCGTTAAGCGGAGTCACGGCCTGAATTTACTCCTCAGCTTCCAGGAAGTCTGTGTGTCTAGGGTTGCCAGGCCGGGCCGCAGGGGCTGTGTGACTCCACCTCCTGCATAAAGTGACACATTTTCTAGCCAACAGCCCATGCTAGAGCAGAGAGTAAAGTAGCTCTCAAAGCAACCATCCTCACAGGTTCAGTAATCTTAGCGATTTCAGATAGCGGGAACCCCCTGAGTAACAGATACCCGCCAGCACTGCTGGGAGTGTGGTCACACAGTCATCTCTCACTGAGCCCTCTGGGGTGCTTAGCAAGGTAAGCAGCCCAGCCCCAGCCAGCTTGAAGGAGCGGAGTGGAAGCAGTGTTTTGTCTGTTCCGTTTTTCTGAGGCAGAGTCTCACTGCATAGTTCAGGTTGGCCTCCAACTCGCTATGTAGCCGAGGCAGGCCTTGAACTTGTGGAGATCCTCCTGGGATTACAGGCCTGCGCCACTGCAACCAGTGCCCAGTGGAAGCGGTTTTTCAGGGCATGATACCAATGAACACTCGCAGGAGGGAAAACCACTCCCTATAGGGTGCACCTTCAGGTGTGTCATCCTTGTGCACTGCCAGAGTCACTGGCAAGAGCCGAACTTCCAAGAGCCGAAGAAGGACCTGAGCCTCAGTTTCCCAGAGGGCAAAGAGCTGAATATTTACATACAACACTCCCCTCGCATTTGTTGCCCATGGCAACCAACCAACCAATCAACCAACCAGCCCACAGGCAGAAGGATGCAGGCACCCAGAGTTGGAGCGAAGAGGCTGGCCCAGGAAGGGGACCAAAGGCGGGCACTCGTTCGGGGTCAGCCTGCACGTGGGTGCAGAGATTTTGCTCCTGGTACAAACCCTAAGAAGTGGTCCCTGTGCTCCACAGGACATTTTTGATGGCAGGAGCTCTAGGGTGGCCCAGTGACCAATCCTGGGAGGAGAAACAGAATCCATGGTGGGGGAGCTCGGCAGCATCGCGCCGCAGTTACCAGGAACAGATTGGGCTGTGCAGAGCTGCAGAGCCAGTCTTAAACCTAGTGCTGAGGAAAAGCAGAATGAGGTCTAATGCGCACACGCACACACGCATACACACACATGAGTACACGCACACACACCAGTGATTACTTTGCAGCACTACATTTAAGCAAAAAAGTCACATAAACACACCACAGTGGTTTCCTATAGAGGTGGAGGAAAAGGAATTGACTATGGGAATAAGAAGATGATAAATAAGTAAATAATCAATTTAATTCGGTTTTTTGGATAGCACAAGGGGGAAAGGGTGTCGGTCACGGATGGTCACAGGCTGTGATCTGAGGAGTGTGAATAATTCAACAACTTGGATCTGACTCCAAAAGATTTCAGATGATCCTTTTCTCTAATCCAAAATACTTTTTTTTTTTTTAAAGCGCTTGTTTGCTTATTTTCCAGACTCATACCTGCTTCTCAAGGTCGGTTCACTGCACGAGCGTGCTGACTGCTGACAGGGGCAGTGCAAGACCAAATTCAAGCTGGGGTGCGGGCTTCTTAGATACTGGAAGAGGGCTGGGGCACACCCAGATGAGCCCAAACCAAGTGGAAGAGCAGGCAAAGTTGGGCTCCCCACCAAGGTGAGAGCCAGAAAGCAGAACGTCCTGGCAGCCCCAGGCCTGGGCTGCAAAGAGAGCCTCATCTCCTACAGTGGAACCGCCAGGAGCATCACAATGTACGGAAGCTGCTGAGCAGAGTTAGCGGTGCCTGCACTATGCATGGCTGAGGGGTTTTATTATTATTATTACTATTATTGTTATATTTTGCAGAGTTTCAAATGAGTTTTGCATTCCAAATGAGGAATAACTGTTTTTCCCCTGTTCTGCCTCTGTAAATCTTAAATTTTTCATCATAAAAACTTCTTCAGACCAGTGAAGAATGACTTTGCCTTTTGTGATTTTTTTTTCACAAGCACTGCGCAGATATTTAACAAATAGGAAAGATGACACTGATTGTTTTGTACAGCGTGCATGAGAAATGCATGGATTTGACTTTAATTTGTAAAACATAATGAATTCAACACACTGCTCCCAGCACGTGCTGCAGATAATGATTAAAAAGTCATACTCCATAAATTTTCATCTGCTTTAAGGGAATATTATGCTGTTGCAAGTCAGAAAGTTTTCTAGAATAGTCTAGCATGGCAAAATATTTTGACGAGATGGATTTTTGTTTGTTTGTTTTGGTATCACAGTTCCAGGAGAAATTTAGAAATATGGCTTTTGCTCTAAGAGCAAAATACCTAGGAAAAAAGGATTTTCCCAAGTATTCAGAACAATCAGCAGCGCCCACAGTTGGTTTCAGAGGCCTTATCTTCTATCACAGCCTTCTTCGCCTTCTTGGATTGGGTTTATGGTACGTTCAGCCGATCCTCTTAGCTGGATGGATACTAAGATTCTTTTCCCCTTCTTAGCCCTGGGGTGCTGGACTCTGATCCAGCCAAGCGGTTCACTGTAGCAGAATGTCTGCTCTCTGCGAAGCAAATGATCCTGTTAAATGGCAGATTATAAACTTTCCCGGTGGCTCCCAGAAGAAATATTTTGTTTGTGTTCTCCATCATACATCCTTCCTTTGAAGTGGCTGCTATTTCAAAGAGATTGCAGGAATTTAGAAAATCTGGGTCACTCCTCACATGCTCCAGAAAAATAACAGTGCTAGACAAAGGCCGGAGGACCCATCTGTAGCCATGTGGGAACTGGTGAGGCTGTAAATAAACCCAGCAGGGGCCCTGGCAGCTGCCTTGACCCTCAGACCCCTGTCTGCCAAATACTGACAACCATGAATGGAGAAAAATGAGAAAACAGGATTTTTTTTCCGGAGCAGAATATATTTATTGAGAAAAAGAAAGCTTTTATCTGAGAGAAAGACAGAAGGGGTGCCAAGTGGGTTGCCAAAGGGCTCTGTCTTTTCCAGACTTTTATAAAACAAAACCACAAGGTGAGGCAGGTTCAAGGTGGGGAAAACAGGGGAACTTGCAAGGTGGGCAGGCATAAGGTGGGACAGAACTCGGTCAACCAATAAGATTATGAGTGTAATCACTCGGGTAAAATTGATTAAATCGGGATCAAATGAGGAGGCGAATCACCTAGCATGAATACAGAACAGGGTCCTTGCTGGTCAGGGGTCGGGCTAATGGCTCCTTCTGGCTGCCTCCAGGTGTCATATTATTCTTTTTGGCATATTGATATCTTTTAAGATTGATAACTATTCAGAATATCAGCCCCTGATGTTTATGTTTAGGGTGTGATTGTACTTGTTCTGCCTTTTCTCTTGGGGTCTGGCCCACAGCAGGAGGTGTCTGTCTTCAAGGTTACAAGATACCTGGTCCAGCACCCTGGCTCCTTCAAGGGCCCAGCCCTGTCTGCCTGCCTCTAATATTTCTATCTAACTAAGCTGCCTGTAACATCCCCCCACCAAAACAGGATATTTGCGTAAGTACGTGATTAGAATACTAATCACACTCACATTAAAAATGAGAATTTTAACATTGAGGAGAGGGGAGGAGGACCTGCGTCACACCAGAGCGCTTTGGAAACTCAGCAATGAATGATTTTTCCCCCAACAGTTGACCATTCTCGAAAGCAAGAGCCATATTATTCTTTTTGGCATACTGATATCTTTTAAGACTCAGGATGGTCACCAGGACCTAACTCTGACTGGTAAATGACTTGAGGGGCAGGATGTGGGAGGCTTCCTTCTGAGGGACCAATGCCACCCCCAGGTCATGCTTCCCTGCTACTTCTTATTCTCCTCCCTGTACTTCCGTATTTTAGGGTGTTTCACAATAAGCATTGTGTGATGAGTCTGTGTGGACCGGTAAGTGTGCAGGTGCTGGAGCTGGGCGTCAGTTTGCAACCTTGACTCTGACCATCGGAGTCTGTGTGGCTCTGACAAACCTCTGCACCTCCCTGTGTCTCATTTGGTTATCAGTGCAGGGTTTCCTGTAAGGACAGAAGCAGGATGCTGATGACATTAACAATGAGGATTAATGTTGGTGGGGTTGTTGGGCACCTTTGGTGCACGAATACAGCAGAGTAGCAGAGTCTAGCAAGTTACAGTCAGTCTCAGTGCTGCTATCATTAGTTCTTGCTTAATGATTTTTTTACGTTACTTGGTGATTGTGATTATCATCGAGGGGACTTTGGCAAATTCATTTCTAGCAGCTGGTGATTTCTGGAAGCCTGAGTCTCCCAAGACTGACAAGTACCAACATGGGTAGCCAATGCCTCCAGATTCCTGCCTTCCTACAACCTGCCCCTTAGAATCATAGGCCAGATCCACATGGGCACACTGAGGGGCTCTGAACTCAGAAAACACTGGCTTAGACTGTTTCCTTTCCTACAGTTGCCATCAGAAGTGCCATAGCTTGGCTTAACTGTAGCTCCTTATGGTTCTAGGATCTAGAGGCTCAAAACCAAGGTGTGGGCAGGGTTGGTTTCCCCAGAGGCCTTCCGCTTGGCCTCATCACCTCACATCTTAGTCACTCTTCTCATCTCTGATACACAGCACTCAGGACACCCACAGTTTAAAGAAGTTTGTTTCAGCTCACGTTTGTAGAGGTTTCAGTCCATATTCCACTGGCTCCATACTGGGGCAGAAAGGCCTGGATGCAGCAGAGGGGCTCCTGGGCTGGCGGTGGGGACGCAGAGGCCACGGGTGGAGCTGGGCGGGGGAGACCCTTCCAGGCCAGGCCCGCCCTGACCACTTTTACTGACCACCCTCCACTCCCCAACATCACCCTTCGGTATAGATGCATCAGTGACAACACCCCATGACTTAGTTACCTCCTCCAAGCCGTATCTATGGGTGCACAGGGCTATGGGGAGACATCTAGATAGAAACCATGACACCTCATTTTATCTTAATCATCGCTGTATGACCGGTATGACCACATGCAAGTCCAGTGGAGCTAAGCCTTTGCATGGGAACGGGGAGGGCTGCGGTCCTGACAGCACATGGCAGGTGGAAGACGAGGAGGAGATGCAGCCTCCTCCACCTCACCCAGGGTTTGGTACCAGTCCACATACTCAGAGGCATCCACGAAGTTCCAGTTCGAGAGCTCACGGGAGGACTCAGGCGCTTTCCCTTTGCTAGGCTCGGCCTTTCGGAGCCAGGCAGGATGAGGAATGCTAACCTCAAGCCTCTACTTGTGTTTTGATTTCCTTCTTAACAAACCTATGTCCCTTTGATCCAGTTTTAAGCTACTGTTACCTGCAACAAATATGGTAAAAAAAATTCAAATGACCGTATTCATTATTAAAGGTTCCTCAGCACCGTGAAAGATGACTTACTGAACACATACACATGTGCACACACACACATGCACACACATGCACATGTGCACATACCTTCTCTTTTGTGGTACTGCTTATTGAACCGAGGGCATTTGCACTGAGACGTGTCCTATGTTCCTAGCCATTTTATTTTATTTTAAATTTTGAGATAAGATCTTGCCAAGTCTTTAAATTAGATTGGGCTAGAATTGAAATCCTCCCGTCTCAGCCTCCTGGAGTTCTGGGATTACAGTCCAGCACCATCACCTCCAGCCATGACATTCTGAAGAGCCCCTTCTCGTCCTACTTCTTTCGTGTCACCAGATCTTCCAGGCCCTCAGAAGAGCTTTGGCACCAGAACACTTCCCTTAGAGGGTAAAGGAACAAGCTAAGCTGAGAAGCTGATGCCAGAATCTCATGTTAGGGAGAAGGAGAAAGCGGGCTTCGGGCTACATTCTGTTCTTACCTCCATTTTCCAGATGAGCAACATGATCTGAGGGAAAAGTTAAGAGTAAGACAGTCTGAGTCTGTGCGCTTGGACCTCAACAGCCTAATTCCAAACCCACACCCTGAACCCCTGTGCCTGGAGCTGAACCTCGCTGGCTACCTGCTACCATCCCACAGGAGTGGGCAGTGTGGCCTTGTCCCTGAGCAGGGGCCCAGCTGGATTCTACAGCTTCCCTTACCTCTGCTGTTTCATTTCCAATCTTCGTAGATATCGATGTGTCAAAGTATATTTCACTCTGTGTTACTATTAGAAACCTTGAAATATATTTACAGCAAAGTCAAATGCTTATGACTGACAGTGACTGAAATCCAGCTCATACCAACTGAACAGTCCTAGGAATATCAAAGAAAGTGCTGGCTTCAGGCAAGGTTAAATCTAGGTGCCCCAAGAGCATCCTGAAGGCTGTATCTCACCTCCACTGGCCACTTCCTTGGCCAGGAAAATGGTTGTCTGTCTAGACAGTGTCTGCAGCAGCCTTAAGCTGGACCATTTGTGCTTCAGTCTAGCTCTGGCCCTTCCTGGCTCTGTGACTTCAGACAAGGGACTGAACATCTCTGAGCTTCATCTGTCAGTAGTAGCCGCCTATCTCTAGAGGTTGGGAAGGTTAAATCATTTAGTATTTCTACAGGATTCAAGACAGAACTCAGTGCTAGTGCTAGCAAAGGATGGACGTCATTGTTAATGGTGTTACTGTGATTACTGGGGAAAGGGAAATGAGATCACCTTCATCACTCATTTGAGAATGCTAATAAAGAAATGGAGTCTCAGGGTTGGGAGCTGAAGAAGAGAGAAAAATGAGAAGAAGGGATGAGTGAGGTAGGAGGGAAAGCTGGGAGAAGCAGTGATGGGAGCCGCGGTGGCAGGCTGTTTAATAGCGACAGATGCTCCATGTACTAACAATGTCACACACTGGACAAGAACGAGACAGGAACACGGGACACTCACACAGAGACTCGCACATTCGAGACTGTAGCTCCCCGTTCGCAGAGGCACCGGTGTTCCCATCAAGGTCTTTTGCAGACACTTCTGGTTTTGTCTGGCTGGCATCTGTTCTTCTTTTGGTAGCAGGCCTGGGAGATTCACACGTCAACCAATGCAAGGACCCAGTGAATCCGGCCAGCAGGGGGCGCTCCCCAGCCCCACCTCAGACAGGGGCTAGCTC